CCCCCAACTTCACACATACACACGCCAAAATATAAATAAGTACATTGAACCGACACTTTTTCCCCCAGGCCGGAAAAACTTTATTGGGCGATGAAAGGCGAATGTATGTCTTCGTGCCGAAAGCGCCTGCGACGCGCGGGGTAGGCCAGCCCGCCCGACGGTGGTGTTGCGCCGGCGGCCCGCCCTGCGCCTGGCCGCGCTCTGCAGCGCAGCAAGCGCAGGGTGACCCGCCGGAGACACGTCGAGGACGAGTGTGTTTCTACCTGCACCCTCCAGCACACTGACCTTGAACCACCTGCCGCCCACGCAGAACAGGCTTCGCAGCGAGTCGATGGTGCAGAAGAAGTCGCGCAGACTGGCGCTGGGCGAAGATCGTTGTTGATGAGCACCACGCCCCTGGAGAGCCAGCACGAGCCTCTGGTCTAGGCGCACCGCCCCGCATCCCAGCTCCTTCAGCTGCTCCTCCCCGCGACGCCTGTTCAAGGCGTCGAGGAAGGCGTCCTTTGACACTCCGGAGCCAACAAGGCTGACGCCAATCAGCTTGCTCCTCCAGTCCACATTACCAGCTTCCCTGCAAATTGAAGTAGGCCGCGTGTTACAGGGCGAGAGGACACTACATCGACGAAAACGTATTCCGACAGCCAGGGTCTGGATCATGAACCTTGGGTCAATGGTCTAAAAACCGAGAGATATTTCACTAAAACAAATAATAATGGGAAACAGAAAAAAATCTGAGAAATTTTAAAGAAACGTTATTTAAAACACAGACAAATAACAAGAAAAATGAAAAAAAAAATCGTAGTAAAGGACCCCTCGGTCTGGAAACATGTATTGTATTAGCACCTACTTGCAGAGCGCGAAGAAAGGCTCGACGAGAAGCTGCCCGACATCTCCAGTGAGCTCGCCGTCGCGCTCGGGCTCTTTGACGACAACCAGACGCTCTACGGGTTGGCCGGACGGCTCCAAGTAGCGCACCGCCAGGGACATGAACTCCCGCCCGCCCGCCGCCGCCCGGCTCAGGAGCAGGGACATGGACCCCGCCTCGCTGGCAGCCTTGAGCGCCTGGACTGCACCCGGGGGCTGGGAGACGTCGTCGGAGACCTCGGGTTGGCCAGGGTGCGCGGCAGGGGGAAGTCCATTGACGTCGGGGGCCACGCCTGTACCGACCAGAACAAAAAAGTTCATCCGAAAACAGACGCAGTTCACTTACACTAATTATTACCACACATGTATTGGTAAACAGTACGAAGACCCAAACTTTCTTCGCTTCGCACTCAACAATTAACCACAGGCACAAGGGCATACTGTTTCCCTCCAGCCCACCTGTCACCTGCCTTACCGTTAGTCTCACTCAGCTCAACTGGTGACGTGTCCATCGACTCGTCGCTTGGGGTCGTGGCGGTGAAGTCCTTGGGGCTGTACTCCCCATTCCTCGCGGCCTCGTCAACGGGGCCCGCGGGGACGGGGGTGGGGGCGTGAGAGTGAGCTG